TGAAGATGAGAAGGTGAGGATGAGAAGGTGTGAGAGAAGGTGTGAAGATGAGAAGATGAGATACAGACCCCCACTATTGGAAGAACCCTGCGCTCAGACGCTCTCGGGAATAAAAACATACAAAAAACACAAGGTTTGGGTTGGAAACGAATTAAAACCATGTTTTTGTTTTTTTGATATTTTTGTCGGAAGGCGGCTCTATGAGAAGCCTATCGGGAAAAGTTTTGTGATGCTGAGTCTTTTTGTTGATATGTTATCTTCCTCTCGTTTGGACAACAGGATGGATACGAAGTAAAAAGCGTTTGGGCTCTTGGAAAGATCATGAGGCCACAGCCCCTGTGAGGTGTGTATAAAGCCTTTTCAATAGAATTGGAGGTTATGGCGGTCCATTGGACCGCCTGTGCATCAAGGGTATTTATACATTGTTGGGGCTACATGAAGAAACACAAAGCAGCTGCACATATTTTTCCAACATGTTGGCGGTCCATTGGACCGCCTTTAGGGAAGGAATGATGTTCTAGTGGAAGTGGAAATGTTTAAAATGGATGATTATATTTGTTTCATGTTCAGTTTTGGTTCAGCATATCATATTTCTCAAAAAAACACAAAATACAAAACACATTTTTACACATTTTTACACATTTTTACACATTTTTACACATTTTACACATTTTTTACACATTTTTACACGTGTGTAAGTGGATTTTTTTGGGTTTACACATGTGTAAGTGGATTTTTTTTGGTTTACACATGTGTAAGTGGATTTTTTGGTTTACACATGTGTAAGTGGATTTTTTTTGACTTACACATTCTTACACATCCTTACACATCCATACGCATTCAGGTATATTGTAGTCTTTTTGGTTCATGCTTTCTTACAATGACATCATATGATATGCTTTTCAATCCTTCAAAATGACTGCGGTCCAATGGACTGCATATCTTGTTGCATTTCTTGCAATGAACTTACGCGTGATAAGCATGTCTATTGATTCAAAAGTGCGGCCCACTGGATCGCATGCCTATATAATTCTCTGGTCAATCAAAAACATATTGTTGGGGTTTATGTTTCATCAAGGGAAGTAGCGGCTACCGACAACTCCTGTTCTGAACCATGAACCATGAAACCAAACCGAATTTGAATGCCACGTCGCACGCCTTTGGTCATCCGTGGATGTTCTATCCTGCGGCCCTTTGGGCAGCAACTCTCTCATTTATTTTTTTCCAAATTAAAATTGTCCAACCCAAAGTTTAAAAACATCAAAAATTCGAAGAAAACTTACGAAACAAATGTTTCTTCAACACAAAAAATAAAAATGCAAAACGCAATGATGAAGAAAAAAACTGCTAAAATACCTTTCTTTTCATGTTCAAAATAACTTAAAATAACTTAAAAACTTGCAAGTTGCTTATATCTAACTTATGTTACTTAGAGCTACAATTAAAAAGTTAAGTTTCCTAAGTTAACTTGTAAGTTGTGTAAGTAGGTCAAGTGCCATAAGTAATTTACATGCATTCTATCTCAAAACCATCCACCAAGTAAGTGGTTTCTATGTTTGCCATCTATGCGGTTTTTATGTCTAAATGGTTTCTCTTTATGGTTTCCAAGCGGCGTGTATGTCTGGCATCTCAAAACCTCCATGTCTGGCATCTAAGTGGTTTCCATGCTGCGTTTGTCAGCGTCTGCTATGTGTGGCTTTTGAATGCATCTCAGTGTTTGCGCAGGTTGCCTTGTACGTGGTCTCTTGGCGGGCATTTAATTGTGTAATTGCTGCGTATGCATCGCGCCACCGCAGCGGCTTAGTGGTTTCAACGTGTGCTTTCCGATGGATCTTACGTCTGTTTTTTTGATTTGATGCGGCTTCCAAGTCTTATGTCGGAGGATCCATCTCTTAACTCCAGCATGCAACACCAAAAAGCACAACTCACCCTTACAACCTGCAGCAATTCTGCGAGACTTCCTCAGTTTTTGAAGTTGACAACATCAAAAACGAAGCAATTCTGCGAGACTTCCTTCAAAAATGGAAAGTTGAGTGCAGAGCTGATGACCTCGTACCAATGCGTTTTGCGGTTTTTCCACTCCACCTGTCTAAAGTACTGCGCCTGCCACGAAAAAGTGATGCCAGGTCATACGAAGTGCTGCACCTGTCACGCAAAATCATTTCAGTAAACCTACAGATCTGATGCTCCAAAATGCAGCCCTTCTCAGGAAATGAGCGCCCTGACCTCCGAACATCTCTGATGAACATGTCTTTTGTACTGCACCTGCCACGCGAAATGCATCTTTGAAGATCCTCTTCAAATGCCCCACGCCTGCCATCGTTTCTGGAAATGCTGCAAAACCCTCACGTTTTGCTCACATTTGACAAGGTGCAGAATCCTTTGCGCCTGCCACGCAAAACGACATCTGAACCTCCAAAAGTGGCGCGAACATGTGGTGTTTTGTGCATTTTGACTTCGAAATGTGCTTCGCGCCACAACGGGCGTGCACTTTTTCGACATCTCAACTTCCAAAAGTGGTCCGACAATGGTGTGCTTTGTACATTTTGACTTGGAAATGTGCTTCGCGCCACAACGGCGTGCAATTTTTCATCTCTCATCTGGCCAGCTGGCTCCGCACCCGCCGCTTTAGCGAACCTACTTTTCGACCCTCCGGAGCCTCAAATCATTGGAAAAACATAGTGTTTCAGTGTTTCGCGACTTTCCTACCTTTTCGCGCATCTGCATCTTCTTTCTTCTGACTCTTTCTCTTCTCTGATCTTCTCTCTTCTACTCTCCTCTTCTGTCTGCCTCTGCCCTGCTCTGCTTTTCATCTGTCCATATTGAATTGTCGGAAGTTTGACTTCTAAACTTCCTTCGATGATATCGATCGTCATAGCTAAAGACGTGTTTGGTTTGTCCGTATATAGAGCAACTATATAAACATCAGCAGAATTTGCAACTGGACCGTCCTAAGAGACCAAACGATCTGATCGACTTGTCGCTTTCAGTTTTGGTCCCCCTTCCGTTTGACATGGAAAGCAGCAAAGTGTGTATGGGAGAGGCGCTACTGTTTAAGATATGCGAGACAAGATTTCCGGATAGTTCCAAAGGGCCCAGTTTGTCTGGAAACAAACGTGGAAAACGCTTCATTGCTCAATCATTCACCAGCGAAAGACACCAGACGCACCTTGGGACGTCCGGATGCAGTGATGCTCCCAGTTGTAACTATAGGTGAACACTTTTTAATAGTTGAAAAATGTTGAAAATCCAGTCGATCCGGGTAATTTTACGTCGACAAACAAACACCATTTGTAAGCCCATTGCTCATGATCTATGTCCAGCTGGTTCCCATGGCATTCCATTGCATTCCATGGGCCCGCTGAAAATCGTCAACTCCGAGGAGAACATCGACATCGGTCGCGCCGCGGCGTTGGTCATGGCCAATGCCTCCTCGGACAGTGGGAATCTGGCGGGGGAACCCAGGCCGTGGGCAGTCTGCGTGGTGGGAAGTCCACTTGGGGAAATTTGACAGAAAATGAGGGTGATGGAAGTTGATTTAGCCAGAGACTTGCTGGGATGGTTTGAGTCACCAGGGGTGATTGTTTTGGGGTAGGTTGGAGCCAAACCAAATCGACGGAGGCAGAGATTCAAAGCAGATGGAAGTTAGGATTTTCCATGGATGAAATTATGAAACATTGATTTTCTAGAAGAGCCACGGTCGGACACTCACTTTCTCATTTTTTGTTGGGCCAATCATTTCAAGGGATACCTTGTTGGAACATGTTGGAACCCATGTTTCAAAACATTAGAAAACCCCACCCTGCGGCGCAGCTTCTTTCCGCAGCTTCCTTTGCCCCGCGCGGGGGCCCCGGCGTTTTGGTTACGCTGGCCCCTCCGCCATGAGTTGGGACCTCGGATCTGGTCACAAGTCAAGTTGGAGGTCCGGGATGTCCCTATCAGTGATCACAAGTCCGGTTGAAAATTAGGGCGACCTCTAAAAATCCAGTGCTTCATAGTGCTTCATAGTGGTTTTTTTAGTTCATCAGTTCATCCTCATTTTCGCCCCATTTGTCCGGGATGTCGCAGGTCTGGATGTAGATGCTGAGAAGGAGATCCCCAGCTGTGAGCTCATCGCCACCAAATGCATCGGCAGTGGGGTGACCTCGGAGGTCTACCAAGGACATTGGAACCGCATCGGCAGGGTGGCTTGGTGCCGAGTTGGGAAACGCTGGGAAGATGTTGAGCCTGAAGAGTTGGTGGGAGAAGGTAGCTTGAAAAAAAGAGAAGGGCATTGAGCAACAGGTGATTCTGATGATCAGCACCTGACATATCATTTGAATGTCTCAATCCGAGTAGATGTTCAAATTCCAAAAAATTTCCCCGTTAACGTTGAAATCCCCAGGGTTTAAGCCCCAGTTTGCAGGCTATATCCCCAGCAATGCTCATCCTCAGCAGGTGGTGGCCATCAAAATGATCACTGACCGAAGTGCCTTCCGAAAAGATGAGCAGTTGGCCTTTGCCAGAGAAATGAAAGTTCTCACGCAGGTGTCGAAAGATGGGAAATTGGGAGGCCGTGGCCTTTTTAGGAAAAAACGAAAACCCTGGGAACTCGGATATAATTTTATGGTGTATATCGCTATATCATCATATATCATCATATATCATCATATGTATATATATATATATAGATAGAGCTATGTAACATACATACATAGGATCACTGTCTGTGTCTATGCGATGTATTATACGATTTGGGACACTCAAAGATATTCTACCAGTCACTAGCCTTGTAGTACCCCCTCAAAAACGCTCACAAGTCTCAGGCTTCGGTTCCAAAGGGCCTGCCAGGTACAACATGAGAACCTGGTGACATTCTATGGGGTTTGCATTGATTCCCCACCTTTGCGCATTGTCACCGAGTTCTGCCACTCGGATCCACTTGGCTCAGTTGGCTCAGAGACTGACAACCGCTTGAAGCGTTTTGTGGCATGATGTTGCATGAAAATCATGAAACAAAATGTGAGAGTCTGTGCCAAATTTGGCAACATGTGCTAAAACACGAAAACCTGTTTCTGTTTCTGAGCATCATATCCAATTCATATCCAATTCAACTGAATTTCCATACATGGCACCTGGTGGGAAGGCCGGACCCTGCAAGGTGAAGGCGGCGCCTGTTTCGAACTCCTCCATAACTCGGATGATGTGGATCTCATTTGGCCACAGCAGATTAAAATGTGCAGCTCGGTGCGTGTGGAACCTCTGGCCAACAAAATTGGTATCCAGGTATTCAATTGGTATTCAAGTGTTGCCCAACATTGGAAGAACATGCTCATTAATGTGTCTTGTTCTTTGATTTTTGGATTGTTGGTCCTGTCGTTCATGAGAGTACCATAGTTAGACGGCCGCATCTCAATCTATTTATAGGTCAGAAAAAGAAACATGGAGACCCGCTTTAGCCTTGGATTTCATTTGGCCTCAAGGAGCGGGGAAGGTTCAATCGAACCCCAAGGTTTTCATGCTCAACGAAAGCCCGATGTATTTTGTGGGGAGTTAGATGAATGGAACAGTGTAATGTAGTGGCAGGCAGTGTGTCACAAAGAAGGGTATTTCTGAAAATGGGTTACAGTCAATTCCAGTGGATTATCATCATTTTCTGCCCATTAAATGGCCATAAATGGGTTGCGATATACCTCTGACAGACCTCGGCCGACCCTTCCCATCCTTATGTTTTGGGTTGGCTTGGGCCCGGCATTTTATAGAACAGATGGATCCCAGACCACAAAGATCAAGCTGTGCAATGTCTTAATTGTTTCAGCATTAGCTATTCATGGCGAAACTGCGAGTGGGTGAACGGCTCACTGATTTTGATGGTTGGTTCCTGCTGTAGGTAAGGTAATATTCTAGAGCTAACGCATGTGTCCAAGCTCGACTTCAAAGAAGGGTTGCGTTCACCGTCTAGGAGGTACAGAGTTGATCCAGATCCCATCTGGTCTAGCAGCGAATTCCGGATAACTTGACCAACCGCACGGCTTTGCGTCATTCAAGTTTCTGACCTATCAGCTTCGGACGGCAACGTGTTCGCTTGGCATGGCTGTGAAAAAATATTTTCTCTTGTATTGGCCTCCGTTCCGCCAACTAACTTGCTTCATTCTTTAGCCCTGCAACTAGGGTTTGGGTGTATATTGGGAAATTGTAGACTGTTATCCAACGTGTTTTTTGCATTTTCATGATGCTGATGGCGCAATTTCTTAGATAAATTGCCAGCTGCCTCAATTTTACCCATACAGAGGTGACTGGAGCGAGAAGTTTCCAAAAGGTCTGCAAAACCACCTAAGCATATCTAATCAACGTCTCCCCAGCTAGACTGCTAGACGGCCAAAAAACGCCTCAGCTGGTGCGAGGTGGGTGCAACTTGTTTTCTGCCTATTTCAGACCCCCTTTCAGACCTGCTTTCGGGCTGGGCTTCCAAGCTCTGAAAATGGAAGTCTGCAAGAGCCGGCCTCAAGCGTTCGAAAGCCGCAGCACGCTGATTCTGCACATAGCCTGTGGGCTTCTAAATCTGTTAGCTCACAATTTCTTTGTGCCACTTCCAATCCCTACCGCAGCGCCCAGCTCGGCACCCTTAGGTGCTTCAATTTTACCCATACGTGACGTAGCTGGAATTGGAGGTTACCAATAGGTCTGCGCGGCCACCTGAGCATAATCACTTGCTGCAGGTGCATCGCAGTGGGCTACACAAATGCAATACAATCAAATACACATTTAAACGGCACAAAGATCTGAGGGGAATGGCACCGAAGGGCGCGAACAAACGGTTAGGTGAAACAAGCGGCCCTGCAACTGCGACAGGTTTCTAAATGACCCCAGGGGCCTTGCTAAAATATTCAGGTTGCGCTTCGAAACCCTGGGTTGTGCTTCATCGAGGCGAGATGAAGCGCAACCCTGTATTTTTAACTTTTGAGCAGATAATTACTGGTCGAAGCACCCCAACATTCATCCACCAGTCGAAGCAACCCTCCATTCCAAGTTAAAGCGAGGCGATGAAAGAATGCCAGAAACTGCTAGTCAAAAGTTAGCAATACAGGGTTGCGCTTCATCTCGCCTCGATGCAGCACAACCCAGGGTTTCGAAGCGCAACCAGGGCCATCCACAGCACAACCGTGGCGCGCTCAAACACTGGGTTGCGCTTCATCTCGCCTCGATGAAGCACACCCCTTTGGTCAGTTCATTTTCATCATTTTCTTCATTTTCCCATGATTCATCAACTTCCCATCTACTTGCGTTTGCTTCGGAGGCTATGAATATTTTAGCAAGGCCCCTCGGGTCATTTAGAAACCTGTCGCAGTTGCAGGGCCGCTTGTTTCACCTAACCGTTTGTTCGCGCCCTTCGGCGCCATTCCCCTCAGATCTTTGTGCCGTTTAAATGTGTATTTGATTGTATTGCATTTGTGTAGCCCACTGCGATGCACCTGCAGCAAGTGATTATGCTCAGGTGGCCGCGCAGACCTATTGGTAACCTCCCATTCCAGCTACGTCACGTATGGGTAAAATTGAAGCACCTAAGGGTGCCGAGCTGGGCGCTGCGCTAGGGATTGGAAGTGGCACAAAGAAATTGTGAGCTCGCAGATTTAGAAGCCCACAGGCTATGTGCAGAATCAGCGTGCTGCGGCTTTCGAACGCTTGAGGCCGGCTCTTGCAGACTTCCATTTTCAGAGCTTGGAAGCCCAGCCCGAAAGCAGGTCTGAAAGGGGGTCTGAAATAGGCAGAAAACAAGTTGCACCCACCTCGCACCTGCTGAGGCGTTTTTTGGCTGTCTAGCAGTCTAGCTGGGTAGCCGCTGCAGGTCTCATACCAACCGTGGTCCACCATTGAGCCAGCGCCATCTGCCCCATGAAAGTGCAGAAAAGACGTTGAATAACATTCTGCAATAAGCCAGTAAATATCCATGGCGTGCTTGGGTGGCCTGAAGACTCTTCGGCAACTTCCCATTCCAGCTGCGTCATGTATGAGTATACTTGAGGCACAGAAAGGTCATCAATGAATTGAGCACTGTCAAGAATGGGCGCATGCAGCCCTTCAAGATCAAGTCAGCAGCTGATGATATTTCATTTTCTGCCTTGTCGGCCAATAGGAGCCGATGGGCCCCACACCTCCATTCTATTTATGTATATACACAAAAACTTTACACTATGTATGTATGTATTTATATATATATACATACATACATACATATACACATGTGTAGGGCAAGGTAAAAAAAAATGTTTAAGGTGCAAAAGAACCATTGTTTGCACACACGCACACACGCACACACGCACACACACATATGTATATATATATATACATACGAAATCTAGCAGGATGTGATCCCAACATTGTTCAATATCTACATATATATCTATATATATATATTTACATATAGATATTTATTTATCGAAGGAAGTTTAGAAGTCAAACTTCCGACAATATGGAGATGAAAAAGCAGTCAGCAGGGAGAAGAGTTAGAAGAGAAAAGATCAGAAGAAAGAAGATGCAGGTGCGCGAAAAGGTAGGAAAGTCGCGAAACACTGTGTTTTTTCGTGGTTTTGTGGCTCCGGAGGGTTGAAAAGTAGGCTCGCTAAAGCGGCAGGTGCGGAGACATCTGGGGAGATGAGAGATGAAAAGTTGCACGCCGTTGTGGCGCGAAGCCGATTTCGAAGTGAAAAGGTACAAAACACCTCAGCGTCGGACCACTTTTGGAAGTTGAGATGTTGAAAAAGTGCACGGCGTTGTGGCGCGAAGCAGATTTGGAAGTAAAATGTGTTAAAAACTGAGGGGTTCGGAGCCGTTTTGGAAGTTGAGATGTCGAAAAAGTGCACGGCGTTGTGGCGCAAAGCACATTTGGAAGTAAAATGTGTTAAAATCTGAGGGGTTCGGAGCCGTTTTGGAAGTTGAGATGTTGAAAAAGTGCACGGCGTTATGGCGCGAAGCAGATTTGGAAGTAAAATGTGTTAAAAACTGAGGGGTTCGGAGCCGTTTTGGAAGTTGAGATGACGAAAAAGTGCACGCGTGGCGAGAAGCACATTTGGAAGTAAAAAGTGTTTAAAACTGAAGGTCTCGGAACACTTTTGGAAGTTGAGATGTCGAAAAAGTGCACGGCGTTATGGCGCGAAGCACATTTGGAAGTAAAATGTGTTAAAATCTGAGGGGTTCGGAGCCGTTTTGGAAGTTGAGATGACGAAAAAGTGCACGGCGTTGTGGTGCGAAGCACATTTGGAAGTCAAAAGTGTTAAAAACCTTAGGGTCTCGGAGACATTTCGGACGTTCAGACGTCGTTTCGTACGGTAGGTGGCGTGGATTGTGCATCCACTGAAAAGCGACTAAAACGTGAGGGTTTTGTAGCATTTTCAAAAACGATGGCAGGCGTGGGAGATTTGAAGAGGATCTGCACAGATGCATTTTTCGTGGCAGGCGCAGTACAAGAGGCATCTTCAGCAGAGATGTTCGGAGCTTAAGGAGCTGATTTCCTGAGAGGGGTTGCATTTTGGCGTATCAAATCATCAGCTATGCCAAGATGCTATTTCGTGACAGGTGCAGCATTTCGTATGACCTGGACTAACTTTTTCGTGGCAGGCGCAGTACTTTAGAGACACGGCATGGAAAAATCGCAAAACGCATTGGTACGAGGCCGTCAGCTGTACAGTCAACTTTCCATTTTTGAAGGAAGTCTCGCAGAATCGCTTCGTTTTTGATGTTTTCAACTGCAAAAAGTGAGAAAGTCTCGCAGAATTGCTTCGTTTTTGATGTTGCCAACAGAAGTCTAGCAGCATTGTTTTGTTGTCGTCGTGGCGGTTAGACAGATTGATCGACAGGTCAAGAGGTAGATCGAAGGACAGGTGGAGAGAGAACTTGACGGATGAAAAGATGCATAGATAGACACATAGGGAGATAGATCGATAGTTTACTAGATAGATGGACAGATAGACAGATAGACAGATAGACAGATCGATAGATAGATAGATAGATACATAGATGGAGACATAGAAAAACAGACAGAGACATAGATGGGTAGGTAGGTAGCTAGACAGATAAAAAGATAGAGAGATAGATGGGTGGGTAGGTAGGTAGAAAGATAGATAGAGAAATAGATAGGGACAGAAATAGAGAGACACATGCATGGAGTTAGCGCATAGGGTTAGCCGTTGTTAACGGCATCAGAGAGATCTGGCTTCACGTAACTTTTCAGGCGCTATGAACATGTGATGATTAGCATGCATGCATACGCCGTGCTGACGAAGTCACAGGTGGTTTGGAAACAGCGCAGCATGGATGTTGATGTTCCTGACTGTTGCCAGCCTCTTATTTATTGCATGGATGTGT